CCCTTGAAAATTAGTTAGTTAAATAGGAAACCTACAAGCAGGTTTCAGGTATAGCAACTAGTATAGAACCTTTGGGCAGACTACTTTAATTAGACAATAACTAAAGTTGTACAAGTGACTAGTTATATATTTTTTTTATAATTGTCCTCTGTAGTTGTAATGCAATTATTAGCTAAATATACTATTAATAAAATCCTGAATCACAAGTACTTACCTTAATATTAAAAAAAATATATATATATTTATCTTTTAATTAATTTTATTTTATCTGTATAACAATAGTCAATGCTAATTTTATTTTATTTAGATAACAATACTAAACAGATTAAACAATAACATAATGATAAAATAAATTTATAAATAAGATAAAAAATAGAGATATTCAGTTTACTTAAATAGTTTTTATATAATATAAATTGAATAAATAATAATAATTATAAATTGTAATTATATTCTATAAATAAAATATAAATTAATAAAGTTTATATAATTTTGCAACTATAAAGTATTAACTATAAATATCAAAAATACTAAATCATATTATTATTCTAATACTGAAGAGTAGGATAAACTAGAAAACAGAACCTGTTAAAATTCTGAAGCATAAGAAAACTCTTAGGATTTGAGTTTTTTAGTTTGAGATCTATAGTACTGTATTTCAAAATGTTATACATCACTCGTGATTTGCATCCTGCATACAATTGTCACATGTAACTAATTTTATTGGTTTTTTCAGACAGACATTGCATGATCGTGCATTGAAATTGTCTAGAAGTATAAATCCTCCACTTCGCTTCAGACAATTATTTTAAGCATTTTAAATATTAGAAAATAACTTTATACCACTATTTATTATAAATAAATGTTTAAGACAAAATGTATCTGTATAGCAATATTATAAATTTAAGACTAAAAATTCAGATATTCCAATTGGCAAAAAGTGTAATTAAGCATTTTTGATCAGTACTAAAAATTCAAGTTTAGAAAAATATTTAAAAAGTTTGCATAATATTAAAGTTTCAAAACTTAAGAATTATCAAACTCAAATATTATTTATACATACTAATTTCTGATCTAAAAAATAAAAAAATAACAAAATAATGTTTTAATTAAATAAATTATATTAAACTAACAACTATTTTGCATTATTAAAAATAAAATATTTGTAAAAATATTAAAAATATTTAATTTACATTATCTAATTCCTAACTGTTATCAAATTAAAAATATAATTTTTAATTATTTAAATATATAAAGAACAAAAATAATTAATAAACTAAGTAGTATTATAATTAATGTTTCTTTAATCACAAATATAAAAAAAATTAATAAAAAAAGACAAATTATTTTTAGTAAATTTTTTTAATTTTTAAATTTAAATAACTCAACAACTATTTAATTATATTTGCTAAAAAATTTTTTATTTTAATTTTAAAATTATATAGAATTAAAATAAAAAAAATTTATCAAATTTAATAAAATAGTTGTTAAGATATTTAAGCTTAAAGTCAAAAAAACTTTTATTTAGAAAAGATTTGTATCTTTTCTATTGACTCCTCCTATATATAAATATCAACAATAAATCATAAAGCTTTCTTTAGAATTACAATTCATTATATAGATTGACAATAGTGTTTTTATCAATTTCTGCTAAATATTATTTTTTTTATAATATGTCATACTAGAGCAAATATTGTAATAACTATAAATAATGTGTTGGCAGAATTTAAACTCAAATAAAGTATTAGCATTCACTACTAATAACAAATCTGCTATAGTAGTTTGCAAAAGAATTTTAATATATAATTTACAAAAAAATTAAGCAATTAAACCTTTCATCATTATAAATGTAATATACATATTTTAAATTTAGTAGCACATTATGAATTAGAAATAATTACTTAGAGATTATTAATAATTATGTACTAATATTAAAAATAAAGATGTCAACAAGATTATGTAATAAATTAAGAGAATTATGTAATATACAAAAATTAAAGTATTTAAAGCTTGAATTAGATATTAAAACAAGATAGAATATTATCTACTATATAGGTTTTTTGTTTTGAAAATTAAATTTGAATCATATAATTTACTATGTTCCGTAAGGTTATTTTTAAGACAAAGATCCTAAATGTTATAAAAATTACTTAAAATGTGGGTTGCATTACAAATGCTAACTGTTAACTATAGTAAGATTATATGCTTAATGCCTTCATCAGAAATATAAAATAAAATTGATATAACAATTATTATTTAATGTCTTAATATAATTAGTTTATAAATAATTTAATTTTTTTTATATTAATATTATTAAATTTTTCACGAAATTAAGAAGTACTTATATTAATAGAACTATTGGAAAAAACCATTACATTGTTGTTTGCATCTTTATATCCAACAATTACTGATATACATTTTTTATTTACTGGAATTCAAGAACATCTTCAAGGATATATAAATAATAATACCTTTAGTTAATATATTTTAGCTGTTTCAATTAAAGAAAAAATTAAGAAATATAATAACATAATTGATGATGCAACTATTACAGCAACAATCCTTAATCCATGAACAAAATTATTATTGTTTGAAAAAAGACAACCAACTACTGATACAATTAATGAAATTAGAGAAGTATTTAATTTGTATTTTGTTGAATTGCCATCTAAAACTAATGCCAAATCAGATATAGATGAAGTTAGTACAACACGAAATTACTTTAATAGGCTTACCCTGTGATAAATATGTTTCACCTTTGTTATGATGGCAAGCACACCAAAAGAAGTTTCCTACTTTAGCATCTATAGCAAAAGATTACATGTCAATTCAAGCTACCAGTGTAGCCTGTGAACAGGCTTTCTCAGTAGTGACAAATATTATATCAAAAATTCAAAATCGTCTTTACCCAGAAACATCAAGAGCATCTCTGTGTGCTAAAAGTTGGATTGATAATGAAATTGAAATATTAGTAAGTAGACAATCAACCTTTTTTTTATAAACCACTTTTTATAACCTTCAAATAATTTACTTTTGATAAAAGTTAAGTGTTGATTTTGTGAAGTCGGCACAACAAAATATTAAAATAAAAACATTTACTGGTATATATAAATTTATATATATCATATTGGACTATTTAAAATTTCGGATAGAAAAAAAATAATTAAAAAAATAAATAGATAAAATATAAAAAATTTCATATGATATATATATAACTTTAATAAAGTTATTCTTTAGAAATATATAGTTTATACATAATAATGATACTCGATGTTTAATTTATTTAGGGTGTTCTCAAACCTCAACCTTGATGTGATTAGGTTGCGATCTTAATCGTGCACAATTATAACTATATTTATGTAAAATTTATGATAATGAACGAATAAGCAAATTAAGAAGTAATCAAAGTTTGCTCAAACGTTATTCTCTATGTGATTAGCTAACCAACATGACGATGCTCAATTACTATAATCAATGTAAATAAGAATTGCAATTGATGCTTGAGCGATTCATTAATATTTTATCAAATGTCTTTATCACTACGTTTATTTCATTGATATTCGGTCGTTGCATGATAAGGTTACTGATAAAGTTACTTGTGCGATCTCTTTGAAAACTCAATTAATTGTAAATTTGCCGAGCCAGAGATAAAAAAAAAAGTGGTCTGCCGTAAAATGGTTATAAATTGAAATTATAAACTCACGTATTAATTTTTTATTAATAAAAATATATTAATTACGTAATAAACTTTATTAAACTACGATGTTTATTTAAATCTTCATTACGATGTTAAGCACATTTGATCTTAAAATATTTCCACTAAGTAAAATTTATTCACTGACACTTTTTGTCTCATCGATTAAGACGCTTGAGAACGACCTTAATGTATATGATTTGATTCACAAAATTTTGTAATTACCTAATAAATGAGTGAAAAAAGACCGTTCAGACTTTCAATGATAAACTTTTCATAGACATCTAACTGTACACAAAATATAATTAAAGGTCCAAACGGTCTTTTTCCCTTGGCAATGCTCATATACATATTGATATAGCGGACCTAAGTCCTGGAACTAGGTCTTGAACCGGATCTAAATTAACTTGGTCCTAGGACTGGTTTTATAAGACTTGGTCTATGAGTTCATGTAGAAGACTTACAGGTTATAGGACTGTAACTGGACTAGGACCGGACTTTACCATCCCTAGATGTATAGCATTGATGATTTTTCTTGAAACTCATGAACTTACTTCAAGCATCTACTTTCTTTAATATTAATATTCTCAATTATCTCGTTTTTAAAAGTGATTTTAGGTTCTAATTCATCGTAACTCTCAATACTTGTAAGCTGGTATAAGTATTCGTTGAAGTGGGTAAGTAGATTCAATATATTCAATAGTTTGTTAGGTCTAATTTATATTGTAGCTTTGGCTTGCAAATAGTGAAGTAACGGTTTACAATATTTAAATACGAGTCTGTAAATGAACTTTGAATCTTTTTTTGCAAAAGGAAAAGCTTAGAAATATTTATTACGTAAAATTTTAATTTTTGCATAATTAATATAAAACGTAACGTAACGGTAATGAATACATAATTTCTTACAGTTCGATAATACTATAATTTCGATCTAATTATCCGGACGATCATCCGGGTACTGTACACATTTTCCAGGTGCTATTAAAAATATAACTTACGTAAGTTACATGTAAGTTGCATCTTAAAAATGAAACTTACGTCAGTTAAAATAACCCTAAACCTAGCATGACAGTTACGTACGGAGTTTCAACAACTACTCCAGTGGCACCGACAGACTTTTACTTATCGGCATTTTACATTAGGTACTTGTCTTATACTTATACTAAAATTTTTGAGTTCACGTTACACCTGATCTTGTAATTTAATTGGTCAATCGCTGTCGATCAGTCGGGTAATTGAGTTTCAACGATTAATATGACGATTTCTGTATTATTAATACATGATTTTTTTTTCATATCTGAAAATTTTTTGCAGTACATCGTAGATTCAGGGAATGCAGAACGTGATAATTTTAAAACCGAGTGGGAAATCTTAATACACATACCATCAAAAACAGAAAAATGGCAATAGATAATAAGCAGTACATATTTCTTTGTTTTATTTTTTTAAAAAGCAGTTTTTTTTTATTGATCCTTTTGGAAAATGGATGTTTATTTCTTCAAAGGTATATTTATTTATTATACCCATTAATTAAAATTCTAATAGTTTAGATTCAATGAAATTCGATTATTCTCTTATTAAAGAAGCTGAACAAACCAAATAAGAGATAATAAGTATATTAACACCAATCGATTATTTAAATACGAATTCAACTATTTCTGAATATAATAATATAGCTGAAGCAGACGAGGCAGATGCTAAAACTAGAAATTGCAGAAAATTATAAAAAAGACCCTTTACGATATATAATATACAGTATATTAATTGTATTTTGTTCATATAGAGGTTATTGGATATACACATAATCTTGATCATAATAATAAAAAAAAAAACTTTTATGGTTAAAAAATATTGATTCAAAAAATGATAAATGATAGAAGCATGTGAAAAGTCTTCCAAAACATGGAATGCCTAAATAATTACTTGTTATTGGTCATGTTGTTGATGATAACTGATTATTCATTAAGACGATGAGATATAGCGGTGGCCCTTGGCCACCGTTATGACGTAGCATCCACTGTGAATAAATTAGCAATTGTCATTAACAACTTGACTTGATAACTTGGTTATGGTATATTTCTGACGTAAGCACCTGGCCATTTTATGCATCTTGTTGGTCATGATACACAAATTTCGCTCACCTCCGATAGGTGAGGAATGGCTAGAGAAATATACAATAAAGAATTATATTGAACACTTTTTTTATACCAGGAAATCAAAGTTGTTTAAAGTATTTCTGTAACAATAAAACACTTTCAATTATATTAATAGGGTAGAATTCATAGGAAGATTTTCGTATGGTTGGCTGTTTAAATCAATTTAACTTTACATTATTTATACAGTTTAAAGTACTTTTTAAAAAAAATAAAATAAATAAAACTACGAAGAATAAATAAAAAAAGAAGTAAAAAGTTTTATTAGGGTTGTAGGACCATTATTAAAAATAATCAAAATCCCTTTTTGTTTTAGAGAAATTAGCATGGTAATAACCAATTCTATCTTTAAGAAGTCGCTATTATGCTAATTTCTCTAAAACAAAAAAGGATTTTGATTATTTTTAATAGTGGAGTCATACAACTCTAATAAAACTTTCTATATACTTCTTTTTTGTTTATTTTTTTTAAAAAGTACTTTAAATTGTATAAATAATGTAAAGTTAAATTGATTTAAACAGCTAATTATACGAAAGTCTTCCTATGAGGATAGAATATTATTAACTTGGAATTTCGCTTTTTTTTTTGATAAAATTCGGAATTTTTGTTGAATCTTTTTTTATTTGGTTATGCATTCGATATTAAAATCGTCAGAATTCGGTAATCAAAATTTTAAAATACAAATTACGTAACTGATCTTGGTGGTCATGCTAGGTCGTTTCGATTCTGGATCAGCTGAAATTGAAATTTCAGCATCAGCCAAAGAATTTTATTCCCTAAGATAGGCAAGAAAGCGTACACACTTACGTTTTATGGCAGTTAAGTTACTCGAACTCCCTAAAAAAAAAAATTAATAAGTCGTGTAACCATTTCCTAATCTGGGACGATTTCTGCTGATATATATTCAATTTTTCTTCCCCTTAATTACAAAACTACCAAAAATTATTCAGGTTGTTAAAGTTTTAAATGTCAATGAACCGATCGATGACTACTATTTATCTACTTGAACTTGAGAGTGATGGATCACTTAGCAAAAGAAAACAGTTTATACGGCTACCTCCGCCTACGAAGCCTTATATTCTTCGCTTTAGCACTCGTTCTGATTCCCTTATTTCAAAAGAAGGTGTTTTATATACAAACCATCCTTTAGAGAAGTAAGTCTTGTAGATATGAAATTGTATATTTTACCTATCCAACTCGACCAATGATTTTTTTTTTTTGAATTTAGTGCAGAATTCGATAGGAACAAATTTTATCCAAAGAAGTAAGTTATCTTTTTATTTAAATTGAATCGCATCTCTTTAAACTAATTAAAAATTGCTTTTAATATATTTTTAAATTAGGTTTCCAACACTATTTTCGAAACCTCTTAATGTCGATATTACAATCAAGAGATCAGGAACATTCGGATTCTATGTTGAATATAAAGAATCACAGCCAAAATCAAAGCAACTCGATGAAACTGTAAAAACATCTCCAAAATGTTATTTTACGGTTGATCCGATACTTGAAATAGTTCCTCGATATAGGATATTGTCATCAGAACCAATATCTAATGAATCCAGAGTCTCAATTTCTCTTGATGGTATTGTAACTCAATCCATCTTACCTAAATTACTCGGCCCCTTTTCTCAATGGGAAGAACACATTAAGACTATATGCGCCCTTGGTTATAATATGTTCCACTTTGTACCTATGCAAACACGTGGTCTCTCTAACTCTCCCTATTCTATATTTGATCAGTTGACCTTTTCAGATGATTTGTTTGATGAAGAAGATCGTGTAAAAAGTTCGTCAGAAAAAATTGAAATCGTAAAACGGACTGTGAACAAACTTGATGAAGAATATGGAATTTTAAGTTTAACTGATATTGTTTGGAATCATACCGCATTTAATAGTGAATGGCTTCAAGATCACCCAGAGGCTGGTCTGTGTTGATCTTGTATTATTATAATGTCTTGAATATTTTCATTTAATTCATTTTTAACATCTTATAATATCACAATTTCAGGTTATAATTTAGTAAATTCACCACATCTTACTCCTGCTTATGAGTTAGATAATGCCTTATTAAATTATTCCGAAAATCTTTCTTCACTTGGTTATAAGGCTCACGTCCAATCTGAAGAAGATTTGAAAGCGATTATTGAAGGTGTTAAACAACATGTTATTAATAAAATATGTTTATGGGAATTCTATGTTATTGATGTCAAAGAGGCATTAAATGAATTTCAAGCAGCATTAGATAAGGATACACCAGTTAACAAGTCTTTATTTGAAAATATTGACATTGCTGCACTTTCATTTAAGGAACAAGCAAAATTATTAGCCGATAAAGGTCTATATAATAAAGGCACTTTTGGTCAGCGTTTCTACAAAAAAATAAATATTGACATTGCTCTTGCTTTTATTGAGAGGCTGATTGAGACTGAAGCAAAACATAAAAGTGTGAATAATGTTTCTA